TATGTGCTTTAAAATATAATTCATTCTTACAGTGATTTCAAAATATGTGGGGAAATCTTTCACGCAAAATTACCTTTTGCTTGGATTCCTGTTGAAATTACTGGATTTTATCTGTGAAAGTTTGCAGAACAACAGTAAATGTGGCCATAGCTTTTGTCCATCAAATCAATGTGGTGCAGTCAACAATGTGCAAAAATATGCAGAAATAACAGAAAATAAAACTTTACTTACTTTTAGTCATTTAGCAGACGCTTTTATCCAAAGCGACTTACAAATAAGAAAAAGTAATTAAAACTAAAAGCTAAAACTCTATAAATACTATATATACACACACATTTAAGAAAATAAAATAAATTAAATAAAAATGACAAATGCATACAACAACATTTCAAAACTAAAACATTTAAATGAAAACAAAAAAATAAAGCTAAAAACAATTCAAACATACACAAATAAGAAAAAGTAATTAAAACGAAAACAAAACATGAAGTGAAAGAGGACCCCTAAAAACCTTCAAGACTGTCTCAGGATGTAAAATGTCATGTGGTACAACTCCTTCACAAAATAAATAAATAAATAAAGATATGAATAAATTAATAATTTGTGTAATTTGTAAAAAAAAAAATTTTTTTTTTTTAAATAGATTTAAAAAAAATTTGCTTACCCACTTATATTCAAATTGTAAGGAAAATTTATTTTTAATTCATGGTTTAGGAAGTAAATTTAGGAAGTCACTGAATTTAGACAGAATTTTTATTTATAACAGTATAATGTTTTTCAAAGCCAAATGAAATCAAGAACACAAAAATTCATTCAGCTTTAAAGAAAATGAATCCTTTAGAAATTTAGTCCAAAACAGGGTTATTAAAGTTAACTAAAACTAAAAATTTGTATATATATATATATATAAAACATGCTCATTGCTTGAAATAAAATATATATTAACTGAAAATAAAATAAAATAGAATAAAATAAATAAAATACAAAAAAATTCAAACCTATTATATTTCAGCTAGTTTCCAAGGCAAAATTTGAAAAAAAAAAAATACTAAAATGACTAAAACTTTAATTTTTTTAAATAAAACTATTAATAATTATTATTAAAAATAATTAATAAAAAAATATATAGACATATGTAAAAACTACAAAAACTAGTAAAAAATCACAAAAACAAAATTAAATAAACTAAAAAGTACAATTTTAACTAAAATTAACATGAAATCATAAAATATAAAAATAAAATCTTAAATAACAACAAACACTATAATAGTATCTAAGTGATACTTAAAAGTGATACTTAAAATAACAGTATCTTCATTCAATGAGTAATCCTGTATGTTCCTAATATTCTCTCTTTTTTTCAGAAAATGCTGCAGTCTCCCTATTTCTTCTTTGATGTTGTTTATCTTCATAACGGCACTGAAGAACAAACAGAAGACACTAGCTGGAAGGTTTGAGCGTCCTATGATTCCCTCGAGCCATACGTGTCAGTTTTTATAAAGAGGATACTGAATGTTTGTGTCTGTGTTGTCAGGACGTGTACGCCTCCTTCAGTGAGCTGGACTCTAAGGGAATGTGTTATTGCTTTGAGGTGTCACTGTGTGGTCCTGCTCTTGAGCTGCACAACTGCATGGCCAAACTGCTGTGCCACCCGCTGCAGAGACCCTTCCAGAGCCACGCGTCCTACAGTCTGCTGGAGGAGGACGACGCGCCGGAGAACGAAGCCACGGTGTGAGACTGCATAACCACAGACTGATCCACTCCAAAATGAAGGAGTGACCTGTGAATAACTGTGTATATATGGCCTTGCCCGCTCTTTCTGTACTAGAAATGCCTTTTATTACTTTTGAAAACTTCAGTGTCTTAATTTAGCACAGCAGAATAACCTATAGCTCAAGACCCTGTTGTGGCACAGTCGATTAAAGCTAACCAGTTAGTTTTTGAGAATGTCAGCTATCAACGTCGTGTAAAGGGATACATGATACACCTCTCAAACGTCTGCTTGTTATGTGGTGGAGATTTTTCATGTGAATGATGGCCATAGAGATCCATTGACTGCTAATGGTTTCATCTAGACAGCAACTAATAAATACTGTTTGCTTGTTCCTGTCGAATAAATGAAACGTAAATGCTCTGTGAGACTCATTTGCTACATGCGTGCCTTACATACAAACCAACAAATATTATGGTATAGAAACCGTGTAGCTGTGGACAGATTGTTTTAGAAGACAACCATGTTAAATAAGGTATTTGAACGGACATTTTTAAGTTAAAAAAAAAAAATGAGTGGGAACTAATAATGGGCAGGGCTTGATGCTGTCCATCATAATTTGACTGGATAGTGAAAAGCAATCTATGATATTATTGGTTACTATATTCCACCAAATCAGATGATATTTCAGATTATTGCACCAGATTTTATATGGATGTATGCTACACTGCATTATAAAACGGATAGTTCCGGTCCTTGATTCTGATTGGCTGAGCCGCGTTCGAAGCTGTTGTAAATTACTCTACAAACACATCTTTGTTTACGTTTGTGTGTTGCTTGGCAACCACTTTGTTGCAACCACAACTGATTCTGAGGAACTACATTGTTTGGCGGAAGAATAATGTTTTTATTAATATCATTACACTTTATTTGCTCTGTTTTATTTTGTGAAACCTTACTTACGTATATGGAATAACCGTTTTATAAAAGCGCCTCGCGTCGTGCCTAACAACGCCCCTTAGCTGTTATAAATCCACTGTAAACCACGGCTTCTTGGGGCTTATTGCTTTATTATTGTATACTGTGCTAAATGTACATCCAGTTAATAAAGTATTGGAGAGCGGCAGTGAATTTTACATTTGGAGGAAGGGTTTGAAAAAAAAAAAGTGCATTATACATGCCGGTGACAAGCATTTCGAACTAGAGGATTTTTTTTGTTGTGGTGAAGAATATGCAACATATCCACTAAAGAAACTGCTTACTTGTAAATATGCAAAACAAAACTCTTGATGGGAAAATTAAAGCAGCAATGCAATTGTGTCCACAAGAGGTCGCAGGAGTACAGCTGAACAACAACAACAAAAACGGTCATTAGTCTTCATAGTGAATAATGTTGATTACATTGGGGAATTTACTTTTGGGATTATTAAATGGTATTGTTTGTGTTCTTAAAGAAGAATTTGCTTTGTTTGATTCTTTGACCACACAAACTCATATGCATCGGTGATTCTGTATCCTGCTGTTGAGCAGCACAAAGGTTCACAGATAATAGTCGGAAGAGCTTTCAGGTCACCGTTTTTTTCTCCTTTATTGTGTTAATAATCATTAACCTTTTTCACCCTGCAACCTCTTTAGTTCTGGGAACAATTTTGTTCCAAGCTGTAAACAAAGATGGAGGAAAACCTAAATCAAGGTGCTAAATTCTTAGAAAAGGTCTATTAAAAATAAGGATTCCATTTTTTTTTTCTTTTTTTTTTTTTCCATAGAATAACCATTTTTGGTTCCCTGAAGTATCCCCAAAGTGCACAGTTCTTAAAAAAAATAAAAAATAAAAAATGTTTTCTTAGTGTGACGAACATTTGAATAATCTAAAGGACATTCTGTGGAATGGAAAGTTTCCATGGATTCTAAACATTCTTGGAACCATAAATGCCAAAAAATAACTTTTATTTTTAAGAGTGAATACCTACAAATATGTGATTTACTGATAGGTTGTAATGCTCAACTTTTGTTTTCCAGAGACAACTGACATGACAGTGAGTAAATAATAAAATTTTGCTTGAAATGATCTTTAAAATGAAACTTAAAGGGAAATTAAAATACTGTCATCATTTACTCACCCTCAAGTTTCTTTCTTCTGCTGAACACAAAAGAAAATATTTTCAAGAATGTTTGTACCCAAACAGCTGCTAGTATTGGGGGAAAATTCTATGGAAGTCAATGGGTACCAGCAGCTGTTTGGTTAACAACAATCTTTAAAATATCTTCTTTCGTGTTCAGCAGAAGAAAATTATAAATGATGGCAATTTTCATTTTTGGGTGAACTGTCCCTTGAATACTTGAGAGACCCAAAAATTCTTGGAGTAATGACTAGATGTTGAGCTCTGACTCTGATGCCCTATAATAACCACAGCTCATTTGTCTTGTGTTCGGCTGTCTTTTGCAGAATCAGCTTCCTGTTTTTGTCTTTAAGCGTTCTGTAAGGGAATTTTGTGAGAACTTTCAGTTCGTTTCAAAAACCCTCTGTAAATGACTTTCCGCTGAGGACGGATTGGCAAGGAGACAATGGCCTGCAGGAAAAGCCCTGACTTACTTTACGTCCCCTCTTCACACTCTCCCAGACACGACTGTCAGCTGCGAGCGTCATCGCCAGCCCGGGATCAAACGTGCTGCCGCCTCCTGGACTTCTGGGAGAGTTTGTTATTCATTCCTGCGAGGAGGATGACGGGTCACTATTGTTGTCCCTCCGACTCCACCGATGCGGCTCTGCAGGAAACGGTTTCAGGTGGGTTGTTTTGATCAGATGTGTTATCATCATGTCTGGTCTGATCCAGGAAGAGATGGAAGGACCAGCTTTTGTCCTTTGCAGGAACATTGTTTTTCTTGGCCAAAGTGGCTGATTCCAAAAGGACAGCTGATATTAAGTTCATTAACTCAAACTGAGAAATACCTACCAATATGGACGCCAAGAACAACTACAGAGATTATGAAATAAGTGCTATCTAGATGTTTGACGGTGGTCTGCATTCCTTGACAGGGTTTGGTGTGATTTATGAGGGAAAGTACGGGAGGAGCTCTGGCTGTCTTTGGAGATCTCCGTAGGTTCGGTGTGAAGTACCGTTAACCTCTGGAGCTTTCCCGGGGAGGGCCCGGAAAGAGTCACAGCATGGGAAGTGTGTCTTATAAACACAGCTCCCGCCCCGAGTCCTGGCAGAAGTGTTTACATGTCATTGCCCACAAGTGTAACCTCTGACCATTGCTTTTCATAACAAAGCTTTAGTATCACAACCGTCCGAAGGTCTGTCTCATTCCCACAACCGGACCTCAGAAATGTACAACAGCAGCTACTCCCGGGCCACTCTCGGACTGGAGACGAAAAAGATCCACAAGGCGAAGAAGGGGAAAAGCTGCGGCTACTACATGAGGATCGTCTTCTTCTTCTCGTCTCTGATCCAGTCCCTCATCATCGCCAGTTTGGTGCTCTTCCTCGTGTACGGCCAGCCAGAGAAGACGGCCGAGGAGAAGAGAGTGGAAGAGCTGGAGCTGGCCTTCAACAAGCTCTCTACAGACAACACCAAACTCAGAAAAGACAAAGCTGACCTCACCGGCGCCCTCAAGGCAAAGACTGGAGAGAAGGATGCGGCGGATAAAGAGATAGCAAAGCTGAAAAATGACTTGAACTTAACAACGATCAAGAGCAGTAACTTGCAGAAGTCACTTGTAAGTCTTTTATTTGCTTGTACAGTGTTTGGGGATCAGTAAAATGTCTAATGTTTTTTAAAGAAGATTCTTATGCTCGTCAAGGCTGCATTTATTTGATCAAAAATACAGAAAAAAAAACACATTTTGTGAAATATTTTTGATGTTTAAAATAACAGTTTTCTATTTTAATTTACTTTAAAATATAATATATTCCTGTGATCAAAGCTGATTTTTCAGCATCATTACTCCAGTCTTCAGTGTCACATGATCCTTCAGAAATCATATGCTGATTTATAATCAGTGTTGGAAACTGTTGTGCTGCTTAATTTTCTTTGGGACCTGTGATACTTTTTTCAGGATTCTTTGATAAATAAAAAGTTTAAAAGAATAGTGTTTATTCAAAATAGACATTTTGTGTTACAATATACACTACTATTCAAAAATTTGTGGTCAGTAAATTTTGTTTAAGAAATTAATACTTATTCAGCAAGGATGTTAAATTTATAAAAAGTGATAGTAAAGACATACTGTTAGAAAAGATTTTTATTTTGAATAAATGCTGTTCTTTTAAACTTTTTATTCATCAGAGAAAAAAGTATCACGTTACCAAAAAAAAATATTAAGCAGCACAACAGCTTCAAGACTAATAATAAATCAGCATATCAGAATGATTTCTGAAGGTTCGTGTGGCACTGAAGACTGGAGTATTGGCTGATAAATTCAGCACTGCGTCACAGAAATAAATTATATTTTAAAGTATATTAAAATAGGAAACCAATATTAGAAATTGCAATAATATTTCACAATATTTCTGTATTTTTGATCAAATAAATACAGCCTTGATTAGCATAAGAGACTTCATTAAAAAAAAAACAAAAAAAAAAACATAAAAAATCTTACTGATCCCAAACATTTAAACGGCAGTGTATGTATCGTTCCAAACCTGTATGACTTACTTTCTTCTGTTGAACAAACAAAAAGATTCTTTGAAGGATGTTGCCATTGTGTTGGTCAATGGGGCTCAAAATAATTTGACACTGACTTTCATTGTATGGACAAATGAAAAACTGGAGACATTTTTTTAAATATCTTTGTGGTTTGACAGAAGAAAGTAAGTCATTCAGGCGTGCAATGACATGAGAGTGTGCAAAGGAGGACTAAAGTTTCATTTTTGTCTTGATATTATAAGGTGTGATTAATCTTGAAACCCTAACAATAATTACAAGCTTGATTTTGACTGGCTGTTTTACAGTCTCTCTGTGAGGCCAATAAAGCAAAGATTCCAAGCACTCGATATACTCCACTCCCATGTCCACCAAGCAACAACAATCAGAATGGTGAGTGCAATCAATGAATGACCAATTTCACAAAGAGACCGTCCTGCTGACATGGCTCTCTTTTCTCTTCTCAGGTGAAATAAAAACTCTAAATACTCTTCTGGAACAGCAGAAAGTTCTATATGGAATCCTTAAGAGCAACTTCAGCCAAACGGTGGAGTACCTTAAAACTGACTTGGACAACGCAGTGAAGGATAAAAATGAACATCACAGCCAGGTGATTCAGCTGAGGCAAGAAACCATGAACTTGAAATCCCAGCTTGATGTGTACACCAAGAAATGCAAAGAAGACTTTGCAGAGTCCCTCCAAGGCATCCAGACGGTCACAAGTGCCTTCCTGACCAAAATCGACAACTTCTTCACCAACTCGGTCACGTTTCACCTCACCTGCCCGAAACAGGAAGAGCAGATGGAAAGGATTCGCTCCAACTGCTCCAGCCTCTCTCGACAGGTGGAGGACAAGTTCCAGAGCTACCTGGACAACGTGGGAGCGAAGGTCTCCAGCATTCAAAAACAGAGCAGCCGGTTGGAAGTACAGAACACGGGACTGACTTCAGAACTGGACAAATGCAAAACGGACCGGGAGAAAGAGGCTGCGGAGAGCAGCAAAAAACTGCAGGATGCCCAACAGAAGTATGACAAGCAGCTGGAGCAGCTTCTCAAGGAGCAAAGCAGACTGAGGGACGCCAGAGACCTACTAGAAGCCCAGCTTTCTGTGAATGACGCCACCCTTA